CCTGTATGAATTAGGAATCTTCTGCCTAAATTGGCTAAGCGCAGAGATATCATCAACATCTTCCTGTCAAGGTAGTAGTGGAAAATGGTTTGTCGACTGGAGAAACGTTAGAAATAGGAGACTTTTCATACCACCCTCCCATAACCTTAGGTAAACGTTCCCCTCGCACATACGTGTTAGTCGTTTCCAGCTCTAGGGGGCAGTGCTGATCTCCGTTACAAAGCCAAAGAGCCAGTGCTGTCCGAAGACATCTCTGTGGTCATGTGGCGAAAACCAGCTGGCCAGTGTGCGCCAGAAACTAAAAGAGCAGCTGGCGATGGCGTGCGTACCCACAGAGAGGATTCTGCATGCCATAGGTTCACCATCATGGGTGTAGGGTCTCCTGCTTTGAGCAGGGGGTTGGACTAGATGACCTACAAGGTCCCTTCCAACTCTGTTAATCTGTTAAACCTAATCCTGATAGTAGGAAACTCTACTAAAGCATTAGTACTTTATTTTGAGGGAAGCTACGTTATATTGAGGGAAGCTACGTTATATTGAGGGAAGCTGGTTCATCCTCTGCCTTCAGGGTAGAGCAAAATTATTACCAAATTGTACTCTTTGATAGGATAGATGGGGGAAATTATTCAATGTATTACTGACATGGGAATCCACATTAAATACATTACATTTTAAGGGAAATAAAACTGAAGAGCAATTGGATGTTGCTCCATGCTCTGCTTTTAGAAAGGGACAACTCGACAGCCAACTCACTATGGCCAACCCGCCGCAGCATAACTCCACAGGACCAGCTCACTGCAAGGACAACTTACTACAGGCAGTTGGTGGGAGAGTTGGATGGGCAGGTGAGCAAGCGGCTGGGCAGAGCGCATCGGGGCAGGTGGCGAGACATGGCAGCTACCAGGGTTTCCCATTTTTATAGCCCTCCATCCGAGCCTGGCGTAGCCAGGGCGACAGCGGTTCTGAGCCTGGTGTGGTGGCAGCGATGGGTCTGAACCTGGAGTGGCAGCAGCAATGGTGTGAAAATGTGAAGTCCCCTGCCAACTGGGCTCTGCATTCTGCACTCTGTACTCTGCACATCCACTTGCCCACCAGATCGGTTCTTTCTCTGGCTGGCTGCAGCAACTTGTCACCATGGCCTCAGTTAGCCACGTGGAGTTGTCTTGCAGCAAGTTGGCAGAGGTGAGTTGGCATGGAGAACTGGAAGCAGCAAGTTGGCCACAGCGAGTGGCCAAGGCAAGTTGTCCTACACCCTTCTACTTTTTGAAGAATAGATCTCAACATGCCATTGTTGTAAGAAATATCCATCTGGTTCAGTTCCAAGCTGGAGAAAGACACTGGAAACATGGAGGCTGATTGGAAAGATGGTTTAATGATGAAGCAGAACCACATGGGTTCTGGTGCAGCTGACCACATGGAGCTGAGAGTGGAAGGTTTTTATACCTTCTCTTGGGCTTTGCACTTGGGCTTCCTGTTTCTATGCAAGAACGTGCATTCTATTGGCTGTTGTCAGACTCCCATGGGGCCATGTAGAGGTTATGAAGGGGTCACAGCTGGCTCTATAGGCAAAGTACAAATCCTAGGTGTTTGTCTGAGCTAAGTTTGGTTGAAGTTTGGTCTGCTCTGAGATGATTCAATGAAGGAGCTTGTGTTCTGAAAGGATGTTGGGCAATTCCTATTGTGAATTAATGGCTTTGTCCTGTAGGATAATCCCATCATCCTGAGCTGAAGGTCTTTTGTTTTGTAGATACGCTGGCCCAGTCTTTCTTAATGGGCACAAAATATCTGCTGGAGACTGTTAAGACTAAGTCTGCTTCCTGCCTCTAAAAAAAACATGTTTCTCCATTTCTCATTTAGGGAAATATAATCTGCCTTTTTAATATACCTCAAAATATTTCATTCTTCTAACAGGGAGGTGGCTTCCTGCACCATTCAAAGGCCCATAGCATAATTCACAAATACTCTGGGTGAACAACTTTCAGTTGTCCATAGGAGTGTTTTCCTTAAAAACTATTTGACTTGTGGTAATATAGCTCACAAATCCCATTCATCTTAGGGCCGTGATAGCGAACCTATGGCATGCGTGCCACAGGTGGCATACAGAGCCATTTGTGCCAGCACGTGAGCTGCAGGCAAACTTACCTCACTGGGCATGTGCGTACCTCACAGCTGATTTTCAGCCAGTTTGAGGGCTTTTTCGGCCTCCCAAAGGCTTGAGGAAGACTTCTGCGGGCTTTTCAGGCTGAAAACTAGCCCCATTTCATCATTTCCTGTTTTTCCGAAAATACCGGAAGTGACAAACAGAACTAGTTTTTGGCCTGCAAAACCTGCAGAAGCCTTCCTCAAGCCTTTGGGAGGCCGAAAAAGGCCTCAAACTGGCCGAAAATCAGCTGTGAGGCGCAGTGCAGGTAAGGGGGCGGTGGGGGGGATGATTACGTGCGCATGCGTAGGGGGAGTTGGGGGGCGCACATTGCCTTCTGGGTCCCGGCATTTGAATGCAAGTGTGCAAGCGCGCACACAATTTTTGGCAAAGGAGCCCAAAAAGGTTAGCCTCCACTGTCTTAGGGCATAAGCAAACGAATGATCAGGGTTTACTATCAGGGTGCTTCTCATTGAATTCCTCATTAAGAGAAACAGCTCCAGAAATAGACTACACAAGGTTTGATAGCATACTGGAAACCACACACACTCCTTATTAGTGTCACATATCACAGTCTCAGTATGATGCAAGGGAAACTTCAAAGAAGAAGAAAATCCATTATCTTCCTGCCCCCACATAATTGTAGCTCTGCAGCACAGCAAGAATTTATATACCCATGAAAATGAATCTGCCTAATTAATTGGGGAGGAAGAAAATAGCACCATGCATTCTGTTATATCATGTTTGCAGCGGTTCAATTTCCCTGTTAGGTTATTTATACAAAATTTCACTTTGAATTAGCTGGTGTTTCTCATTAAAGGGCTCTACCATACAAGTTTACCAAACTTAAAAGATACTTCTGATTCCAACTTCAGGTATGTAAACAAACACTTGTGAATTCGGGATTTCTAAACATTCCAGATGAATTCAGGATTAAATCCCACTGAGTTCAACAAAGTGTATTTCTCAGTAGACATGTTGAAAAATAGCAACCACGGTGTGTTCTTGTTCAGCTATATTATGGAAAGATTCCTTTGTCAGACTTTGAACGCTGACATCCTTTACAAATAGATCAAAACAATATCTTGGTTGAGTTTGCCTAGGTCAGTGATGGCAAACCTTTTAGGCACTGAGTGCCCAAAATGCCAAAATTGCAAGGCGCCCGCCAGCACATGCATGGCAGAGACCCGAAGACCAGCTGGCCAGCGGTAGGTGGACCATCCCAACACCGGTAGCTCTGCAAGAGGTGAGATCTTTTGCTTTTGTGAGCTTCTGTTTCCCTGCAAATGATGGAGAGAAACGCCACGGAGAAGCATGGAGAAGCTGAGCTGGGGCGACGGGGTGCATGCGCACAGAGAGGGCTCTGCATGCCACCTCTGGCATACATGGGACGAGCAGATGAATGAGAGGTTGCCAGAGGTTCCCTACCACTGGCCTAGGTTATCTTAAACTTACATATAACTACATCCTATAAAGACACAGCAATTGCGGATCGTGTCTTTAAGACAGGTCCCTTTTAAGCGTTGTGTGTTATGAATTCCTACTCCACATTATTTATTTATTTTGTTTGTCATGTTTTATTATTTTTTTAAAAAAAATATTTGTAAATAAAATATGTGTAAAAATATTTTTACAAATAATTCAAGGTGAACCTTCCTCCTCCTATTTTCCCCACAACAACAACCCTGTGAAGTAGGTTGTGCTGAGAGAGAAAGAGGGGGCGGGGGGGAAGTGTTTGGCCCAAAGTCATCCAACTGGTTTTCATGGCCAGGGCAGGACTTGAACTCATGCTCTCCTGCTTTCTAGCCTGATGCCTTAACCACTAAACCAGATCGATACTTATGATTCATTAATATCCTACAAGTCCCAGAAAGCAGGTTTTTCAGGATCCAAGTTAACCATGTTATGCCAGTGGTGGGATTCAAATTTTTTTTTACTACTAGTTCTGTGGGCGTGGCTTGGTGGGCGTGGCGTGGCTTGGTGGGCGTAGCAGGGGAAGGAAACTGCAAAATCCCCATTCCCTTCCCACTCCTGGGGGAAGGAAACTACAAAATCCCCATTCCCTCCCCATCCCACTAACCTGCTTTCCAGCTCCGTTCTCCTGTGCAGGGCAACAAAAGAAGACCCAGCCGATCAGCTGGGACTCGGGAGACAGAGAATAGATGGGGGCGGGGCCAGTCAGAGGTGGTATTGGCCGGTTCTCTAAACTACTCAAAATTTTCACTACCGGTTCTCCAGAACTGGTCAGAACCTGCTGAATACCACCTCTGGGTCCTAGCATATAAATCATTTGTCAACACAACAAATAGGAGACTTTAAAACCCCAGCCAGGTCAATCAGGTCACCGTGCTGTTGCCAAGTGATTCTAAAATGCTACATGACAATTTAGATGCTATTTAATTCATACATGTATATTTGTTGCATTTTTTCAAAGGTTCGCCAATTTATTTAAAAAGAAACAAAATGTAAGGAAAGCAATATTACATTAGCATCGTGGACTAATTTGTCACCACAACTAGCAGTGCCACACTATATATATAGTATGGCACAGAGCTCCTGGGTTGCCCTTCATAAAACAGCTGTAACCCTGAAAAATGTTTTACTTCCTCAACCACAAACAGTAGCAAACCTGGGTTAGGGAACAAAACGGTAGGGAGGTAGAACATAGCCAAGTTTCAATCAGATAGCTTTTTAATCTGCAAAGGTATAATATATCAATGCAAACTACATGGCATGGTTGCATATTTTTTTTCCTCACTGCTAATTGCATCTACAGTATTTATTTATTTTTCTGAATCTGTCTGTCATTTTGCTTTAACAGCCCAAAGCAAAGCAAGGATGGTAGTTTCAAAGCACTCACCTTCTCCAAAGAAGCCCGGTGGTTGTGGTTAGAACTGTTGTTCCAGCAAAGGCTACCATCATAAGCCTGTGCCGGCTTTGGTGATAACGAGTGGTACCAAAATGGCGCCTGGAAGTGACCGCCAAGGCCGCCATAGGAGGGAGAAGACGAAATCGCAACATTCTGGGAAAGGAAATAAAGAAAAGTGTAAGAATGAAAGCATCAGAATGGCTTAGGTTTTGAGACAGCTTCTGGATTTTTTTACTTGAGAAAGATAAAAAGGAAGTTTTGATTTTAGGCTTTGATGATCTGATTTGTTATGACTGTAGGTTGCCCTCAACTTCACTGAGCTGTTGCTAAGCAAGGTGTCAGGGTTCCAAGTAACATACCCACGGCAAACAAAACTCGGAGGCAGGTAGATTCCTCAAAGAATAGTTTTATTGGATATGTCATATAGGCACAGGCTGGTGAAAACTGACTCTAAACGTTCCTGCAGTTTTCACCTAATTAAAAGTAGTTTTTCACTTTCTCAAAACAATCAGTCACATGGTCCAATTAGGATACAGTCCAGTTGCAAGGTGACTTCAGTCCCCTCCTTCCAAGCACCTGCTGGAATGTCCTTGGTTCCCAAGAGAAAGTATTTTGTTTTGGCTACAAACCCAAGCTATCTCTATTCCCTGCTTCCAATCCCTTAGCTCCAGCTGTGGCAGCACTGAAGCCTCAAAATAGCCTCAGTCAGGTCATCTTCAGGGTTGATACAAGGCAGTAGTTGAGTTTTGCTCCAATTTATGACCTTCTCTGCCACAGTTGTTAAGTGAATCACTGCAATTGTTAACTGAAATGTGCGGTCATTAAGAAAATCTGGCTTCCCTCACTGGCTTTGCTTGTCAGAAGCCGGCTGGGAAGGTTACAAATGGTGATTACTAATCCCAGAATAGGGCAAGTGTCATAAATACATGCCAGTTGCTAAGCGGCCGAATTTTGATGACGTGACCACCATGGGAATGTTGCAATGGCCATAAGTGAGAAAAAGTAGTCATATGTCGCTTTTTTCAGTGCTATTATAACTTTGAACAGTCACTAAATAAATGATTGTAAGTTAAGGACTATCTGTGTAGATATATTGAGTATTTTTATTGTTATTACTAGATATGTATATTTTATATTTTTAAACATTTATGTTTAAACTTCAAGTAAGTAGTTATTTTGCATAGAATTTTAGTGTTTGTGGACTGAATTTTAGTGGACTGTGTAGTTTGTATAGGGAGTATATGATACTTTCGTTTTAATTCAGTAACAGGTTATTTTATTATATGTTTGTATCAGACTCACAGCGGCGTCACATGACATATTGTGACTTTTTTCCCTTCGCTAAACCGGCCGTGGCCAGCACGCGACAGATCTGGCCCGTGGGCCATGTGTTTGACAGTCCTGATCTGTAGTGAAGAAATTGGGAAATCACTGTTTTTGTATCCCTTTTCCCCCACTTCTCTCTTTTTAACTTTCCCTTCCCTTTTAATCTTGGTTGTTGCTGTTGTTGTTTTGTACTTTATTTTTCCTCTGAAACTTCACAAAGTTGGTTAAAAAGAAAGAGCAGCTTAAGTTTTGAACTGTGCAGATCAGGGGCTTTTGAAGAAACTAAAAAGCTGTAGTGTTCACCTCCTTTTCAATCTTCGAGCTAGCAAAACAAAACAAAAAACCCCAACAGCACCTGTTAGCTTGTTAAGCTTCACAATTTACCACTGAACTTCCTAAACCCTGGCAGAATTTCTACTCTAATTCAGGGATAATCATCTTGTAGGCAGCCAAGCAAGTTGAACTCCATGTCATAGAAGTTATCATCAAACCAAGATGTCAAGTCAGTCAATCTGAGGCTGGTGTCTTGGATATAAATTTCAACTGCTGGAGAGTGTATTTTTTCTTTTATGTACACTGAGAGCATTTGCACCAAGACAAATTCCTTGTGTGTCCAATCACACTTGGCCAACAAAGAATTTAGTGGCTGAAATGTAGACAAAGGCAGCACCTGTTTGGAGACTAGTCCAAAACATGACAAGCCAAGAAGAAAATTAACCAGGAGGCCACTGGGACACAGCTAGAAAGTGAGATTCCTAAGGTTGGTTACACAAAATTCCATTCTGGGCCAAAATTCCATTCTGAGATTAAAAGGGAAGACTATACATCACCTCAGTCTGCAGTCTAGAATGATTTGGTTTGATTCCTGGCAACACAAAACGTAGCCTGATGCTTTCTAGATGTTCTAGGTCACACATCTAGTCAGTCCCAGCCAGAATATCCAGAGAAGCTCTCGTAGTTTGGTCACCAGATTATAAAAAAGATGTCGAGACTTTGGAAAAAGTGCAAAGGAGAGCAACTAAGATAATAAAAGGCCTGGAGACAAAAACATATGAAGAACAATTGCAGGATTTGCGGTTGGCTAGTCTAGAGAAAAAAAGGACTATATGATAGCAGTATTCCAGTATTTGAGAGGTTGCCACAAAGAGGAGGGGGTCAATTTATTTTCCAAAGTACCAGAGGGCAGGACAAGAAACAATGGATGGAAACTAATCAAGGAGGGAAGCAACCTGGAATTAAGGAGAAACTTCCTAACAGTGAGAATAATTAACCAGTGGAACAAACAGCTGGCAGTCAAAAGTTGTGGGTGCTTCATCCACAATATTGTCTTTAAGAAGAGACTGGACAACCACTTGTTTGAAAGAGTGTAGGGTCTGCTGCTTGAACAGGTGGTTGGACTAGAGACCTCAAAGATCCTTTCCAGCTCTGTTCTGGTTGATTGATTGATTGATTGATTGATTGATAGTTAAGGAGATATCCTGTTTCAAGTCTACAGTACTTTCAGTCATGGAAACTCGTTAGGTGATTGAGTCACACACTCTCCTTTAAAAACCTCATAGGGATGTTGGTATGACTAATAAAATGAAGGCAGATTTCCAGGTAATCTAACAATAGAACTAATGCAATCAACAAAATTTTCACTCCAAAATATCTGGAGGTAAGGAAAATGTAACTTAGTCTGGTTGCCCTCTCTAGAGAGTGCAAAAATTGCCTAACATTCTGTAGAGTATTCATTAGTAATTAAGATGTTCTTTTAATAAAATCTCATATTTCCTAGTCAACAAAATCTGGTGTATTGGCCAGATTATTATAGAAAGAAAAATGGAAAACTGGCTACTGAACTAAATAGTATTTAAACATGAACTCTTTAAAATGGAAACATCGTCTCTAAAAAACAAACAACAATCTATTTCAGAGGTACCCAGGGAATTGCAAAAATGGAAACAATTCATATGAGGATGACTTCAATTTGCAAGTGGTTTGAGGCTGTTTGTTATCTCTTGCTTTTTAGGTGCTAGCTCTTCAACAACACAGCTTCCAAGATAATACAGGGGAAACTCGAAAAATTAGAATATCGTGCAAAAGTTCATTTATTTCAGTAATGCAACTTAAAAGGTGAAACTAATATATGAGATAGACTCATTACATGCAAAGCAAGATAGTTCAAGCCGTGATGTGTCATAATTGAGATGATTATGGTTTACAGCTCGTGAAAACCCCAAATCCACAATCTCATTGGAAGAGAAATTGGAACATTGTGAAAAAGTTCAATATTGTAGGCTCAAAGTGTCCCACTCTAATCAGCTAATTAAGCCATAACACCTGCAAAGGGTTCCTGAGCCTTTAAATGGTTTCTCAGTCTTGTTCAGTAGGAATCACAATCATGGGAAAGACTGCTGACCTGGCAGTTGTGCAGAAAATCATCATTGACACCCTCCATAAAGAGGGAAAGCCTCAAAAGGTTATTGCAAAAGAAGTTGGATGTTCCCAAAGTGCTGTATCAAAGCACATTAATAGAAATTTATGTGGAAGGGAAAAGTGTGGAAGAAAAAGGTGCACAAGCAGCAGGGATGACCGCAGCCTGGAGAGGATTGTCAGGAAAAGGCCATTCAAAAGTGTTGGGGACTTTCACAAGGAGTGGACTGAGGCTGGAGTCAGTGCATTAAGAGCCACCACACAGAGACAGATCCTGGACATGGGCTTCAAATGTCGTATTCCTCTTGTCAAGCCGCTCCTGAACAACAAACAACGTCAGAAGCATCTTACCTGGGCTAAAGAAAAACAGACCTGGTCTGTTGCTCAGTGGTCCAAAGTCCTCTTTTCTGATGAGAGCAACTTTTGCATCTCATTTGGAAATCAAGGACCCAGAGTCTGGAGGAAGAATAGAGAGGCACACACTGCAAGATGCTTGAAGTCCAAGGTGAAGTTTCCACAGTCTGTGTTGATTTGGGGAGCCATGTCGTCTGCTGATGTTGGTCCACTGTGCTTCATTAAGTCCAGGGTCAACGCAGCCGTCTACCAGGAGATTTTGGAGCACTTCATGCTTCCTTCCGCAGACAAGCTTTATGGGAATGCTGACTTCATTTTCCAGCAGGACTTGGCACCTGCCCACACTGCCATTGGCATCAAAACCTGGTTCAATGACCGTGGCATTACTGTGCTTGACTGGCCAGCAAACTCTCCTGACCTGAACCACATAGAGAATCTATGGGGCATTGCCAAGAGAAAGATGAGAGACATGAGACCGAACAATGCAGAAGAGCTGAAGGCCGCTATTGAAGCATCCTGAAGCATGCTGAGGTATTATGGTCTTCCATAATACCTCAGCAGTGCCATAGGCTGATAGCTTCCATGCCATGCCTCATTGAGGCAGTAATTGCTGCAAAAGGGGCCCAAACCAAGTACTGAGTACATATGTATGCTTATACTTTTCAGAGGTCCGATATTGTTCTATGTACAATCCTTGTTTTATTGATTGCATGTAATGTTCTAATTTTCTGATTGTGGATTTGGGTTTTTCACGAGCTGTAAGCCATAATCATCACAATTACGACAAATCACGGCTTGAACTATCTTGCTTTGCATGTAATGAGTCTATCTCGTATATTAGTGTCACTTTTTAAGTTGCATTACTGAAATAAATGAACTTTTGCACGATATTCCAATTTTTTGAGTTTCACCTGTATATGCCATTATTTTAGAGAACCGTACAAAATTTTAATAATTTTAATGATTTGTGGCATGAAATCTCCTTTTACAGGACCCAAGAGGTTTTGCCATTATTTCCAAGACAAAATAAATCCCTCAATCCAACGTCAACAAGAACATAA